GAACTCCAGAGCTCTTTCACTAGATTCGTCTTTTCCTTATAGAAAATTCCCATGATTCACCACTACTTTTCTCCACTCCGGGGTCAATGATTCTACCATCTTCTTTCTCACAATCAATGAAACAGCCATCCCAAATCTGAGGAATCACAATGGGTAACAATATACCTTGAGGTTATTCAGTCATTGGTCTCACTTCTGCCCTGAAGGGCAGAAGTATCCATCCTTTCTCAGTTACCAGTATCTTCTAGTTACTCCAGAAGCAGAGTTAATTATTATTTTTATCTACCTTTCACTTTCTCTCTAGAAGAGAACTCTGTGACCCCTGGGTATTTTCCCAGAACCTATCACCTACTTCTTAATTTTTAAAAAGAACCATATATTTTCCCCTCAGTGATGAACAAAAAGAGAGAGGGAGAAGAATGAATAAAAAGAGAGGGCAGAAAACTAAAAATGCTCAACTCCACTAAAGGAAAAGACTGGTGATGTAAAATATAGGAGAAACATATTTCTTTGAGGAAAAAAAAAGTTAATAGAAGTCAAAAGAAAAGCAGAAGTATGTTTATAATGTGGAAGAAAGTAAATTTCTGCTGCATGATTTGTATTTTTATAGCAGCAGATGTACCGTGACTTATTACAACTCAATTGTATTTACTATGCTAGTCCATTGAAACCACTGCAAACACACCAAATACAAGTTAGAACTGTTCAGGTCAAATCATAACCACAGATCATTCCTCTCCATCTGGCTGCAATGCTGGCTTCTTTCTTTTTTAAGTTAAGTTTCACATGGCTCCATCCACAGTTGGTTGGCACATATCTTGAGTGGAGGAAAGAAAGATGAAAGTACACACTTTATCTAGTGGAAGCCTAGTGCATGGTTCCCTTGAGTAAAGCAAGGAAGGGTTCCCTGGCAGTAGCCCATCCTTGGCACTTCCAGTGCAATGGGCCATTGCCAAATAAATGGGTCTATTAGCCTCCCTCATTTTCCTGGATGGAACTGAGAATCAGCAACCAAGGGATCACACGGCATGTACAGTACTGGTTACCACAGTGGCACCACTGGGGGAGGAATGAGAAAGATTTTATTTAAAATGTAAGGCAGGTCTTCGCATGAGGTTTGGAATGTATCAGGCTGACTGAAATGTGGTGTCCAGATCAAGACTGAAATATGTCCCTTTGTTTTGCATGGTTGAATAAATTAATAATAGAACACAGGTTTCACTCGGAATATTGTGGCCCACCCTCCCTTTTTTGTTTTAAAAAAGAAAAAAACCAAAGCTCTAGGCAAAATTAGCCTTTCTTACTATTCCTCCTTTCTCTCTTGTTCTGCCCTTTAAACAAATTTAGCATGCAGAGTTATTCCCTAATGTGGACTAAACCCTTTGGGTATTTACAAAAATATACATATATATGTATATGGATGTGTGTGTGTATAAATGGTCAAAACAGGAAGTTTAAACATTAGTTAGTGAGCATGCACATTAACAAAATACACTACTTTGTACTTGTGGTGCAAATTCTGGCTGAAATTAATCAACTGGGAACTGAACCTCTTTTCACTGGAAATTTCTATCTTCATAAAGTTCCATGCAGCAAACGGAACGCTTTCTGGTGAAAGTGTTTAAGGGAAGGAATACCTGATGTAAACAAAATGAGAAAGATGAAGGGTTCATTGGCTAAAATGTGGCTTCTCCACACCCTATCCTCTTCCCAATGAGAACTGAGACACTAGTTTTAGTTAAGCTGTGCATATGTGAAGCTCTTCAAATACCTGCTTAGATCCTAGCTATGGGTGAGTGTCAGTTTCAGGTGAGTTGAAGATTTCAGGATTTTGTTTCCTATGTGGCCTGGTACCTTTCCTCTCCCACCTCCCCAAAATTGAATAAAAGTAAGTTCTCTACACTTAAAAAATGTTGGTCCATTTCGCTTGCTCAGTTCCAAAGCTTACTTTAACTTAAGGGACCCAAAGTAAACCAGCAGCATTAGCAGACAGAGAAAATGACCTTAAAAATGTCAAATAGTCCACGGCTTATTTCCATCCCTGCATGCTGAAAGAATTCTTTTTCTAGAGTTTCTTTGTCTTTACTGGTCTCTTTCTCTAATTTGGATATATTATGTTAGCATGGTTTACGGTTTGTGACAAACATACTGGTTCTAAGCCTTGTTCAGTTGTTGATGTGACTTGCTACTCACAGTCATGATTTTAACTCACTTACTAGGGCCACTCGACACAAAGTTAAAGGAAAATATGGAAAAGGCATTGATTTGGTACAGGATGATTTCTAATACCCCAACCAAAGGGCAAACTTTTCAATACTACTCCAAAAAGAGTATCTGTTTTTAATAAAGCCAAATGTGCCATTTATTTTGACTATGTGTATATTCAAAAGCTGGTGTTTTTCACTATTCTTTTGTTATTTTGGTTGAATCTTCAATTTTTTTTTTTGGCTTATCTAATCACCGTGGAGGTGGACAACAGTGTGGTCTGGACCATGCTGAATGGGTCCCTGTACTGGAAGAGAATGCATATTCATTATTCAAGTGCCATCTTTCACAGGAACATTGTACATAGGTAGGGTATCAAACAAAGAAAAACATCTCTGTCTACTCAACAAAAACAGACAAATCTGGGGAATTAAAAAAAAACAAAACCCTAAAATGGTCATAGTAATTCCTCAGCTTTTTACTGTAAACATTTGTTGCTTTTGATATGTAGCTTTTAATATGGTTTCTTCTGTATTTGTAATACTTTTGGTCTTTTTCTCGCTATAGAATCAAGGAAGATCTAAAGGAGCCCCATAGCATCAACAAGAAATAGAAATAAAAATTTTAAAAAATAAAAAGGATAAAGCTCTTGGACATATTGTTTCTGGAATTTTTACAAAAACAAATACTGACTCCTCAGCATTAAAATGATGCCTGTTTTTAGAAACAATAAATACTGTGAGGTACAATGAAACCTAAAGGAACAAGAAAGAAACATACAGACAGTTTCCTTTGGCAAATTTAACGGAAGTGGAAGCTGATGTCAAAGTTAGAAAAAAAAAGAATTACAAAACACATGAGAAATGAAAACCATCTGAAGCTTTAAACAAAGGGCATTTCTGAATTTCAGATGAATAAGGGAAATGTTCCAGGCCATTAATTACAGAAAAGAAAGAATACATTCTCTTTAAGTTAGTTTTGTATTGTCTGCTGAAATATTCCTTGTTTTTCTGTTTTTCACTGAGAAAAAAAAAACCAAACCCAAACAATAAAAACAGTCTACAATATACAACCTAATGGTTTTGGCTGCAGGCAGAACTTAAGTAAATACCATCATTTAGTCAGTATGTTGTGGTAGCTCAGGCTGCCAATGTGGTTTACCAGCTCAGGCAACATTTGTAAACACCGGAAACAAAAAAAGGATTTGGAGAATAGTTTCCCTCCCTCCTTTCTCACTCTCGATTGCTCTGTGTCTGACTTTCATTCATTCCTCTTTGATGAATCATGTGGGGAAACACAAAACATTACACAGTGAGAGACCCTATTTTACTCACTTCTCGTCTGACTTTTTAGAAGAGAAAAGTTGCTCAATTAATAAGGTTCAACGCATGTTTGCAAAGCTTTGACGTGCTTCCGTCATACTAACTGGCTTTGATTACATCCATCAAACAAGCCTTAATCATACAAGTACTGAAGTAATCACTACAAACCAGACAGCCCAACAACAGAATAAGCCAGTTAAGACTTCTTGCACCTTTTTGCTGTTGTTTTTTAAAAAATACAAGGGTTGAAGTTTTGGAAGTGAGCACCCAGCCCTTTTACTGTATCCAGCTTTGTTCTGCAGTGAGGCATCTGGGCCTTTGTATCCTGAAATACTATCCTTCCTCAAAAGAATAAATGTCTTGGCTGTCTCACACCACATAATTCTGTTCTCCTTTTACATAATTTAACATATAAGCAAGAAGGAAGCAGTGTTGATTCTAATAACATTCGGCACTTGAAAGAATCACCAAGTGTTGCAATTTTTTTAAAAGCGGTTTTCTAGTGGCCGACAAATTGGCCTGTGGTTATGTTGAGTGACTAATTGTATTTTCTTTTCTGGAAACTTGTGCAAAGTTGGCAGTTTTGTGTTAATACTAATACTTTTGTTTGGCATTCATGCCCTATACTGACCAGACCATTTTTATCTAAGTGTATTTTTTTTAAAAGACACTTACAGAGTATGGCAATAGTTTAAGGATAAAAAGTAAGCATGGATATTACACATCCCCTTGTAGTGTATGAAAAAAAGTGCATGACTGGATTTATGTAATAGTACAGGACATTTTTTTTATCAGACCAGTGCCGTAAAGCATGCCAGCACCTGTTTACCACTATATCTAGCAGGTAGTAAAAACAAGAGCATGTATCTTTTAAAAATGTGCATTAAAGCTAACGTAAATGGACAGAGCTAGCCAGCAAACTATTATTTTCCTGCATATATAACAGCTGAATGTAACTGTAAAAATTAAAGAGAAGAGTTAAACAACCATCAATACAATTGTTTTACATCATTGGCCTCTCAAGGCTAAATATTTACAGGTGAATCTGCCATGCTTTTAGTTGAAGGTTCTCTCAAAGCCTTAAAGTCCACAAAGACAACTAGAGTTTCCTTTTTTGTTTCTTTTTTCCTCTTTTTCTTTTTTTTTTTCTTTTCTGGCTTTTTTTTTTTTGCAGGCAACAGTCATGGGTACAACAAACAGTCTCTTTGGAGATGACCAAGTAATTTTATAATAAATTTGGGACTAGTTGCAAATTTGTATGTGGTTTTTTTAAAGGACATTTTGTTTTTACCCCCATTTTAAAGATCCCACCCCTTTCCCAAGAATATAAAGGAAAAAGAACAAAACCCAAAAGCACCTAGTGTTTTTCTTTCTTTTTTTTTTTTAAAGAAAAAATATATGTATATATGTACACACATACAGGCATATGTGTGTATATACACATATGTATATATATATATATATATATATATATATATATATATACACATATACATACATATATATATACACACACACATACACACAGACTGAATATGGCAGTTCAAATATGGAGGCCATCTGGTGAGAGCTGGCATTGAAGTGTCCATCCTTAAACTAATCTACTGAAGTAAAGGGAATGTTTTTATGGAGATTAGGGTTCTGACTGTGCCGATTTCGGCTGCGCACAGAGGAAAACATCATATTGCAACCTGGGACTTTGCACTTATGCATTTCTCTCAAATGCACCGTTTTGTAGTGCACTCTCAGAGTCCCCTTGTTGCTATACATTTTGTGGCAAATGTTGCACATTATTCCACCATTGCTCACAGACACACTGTTGAACATGAGGGATCCAGGAACTTCAGCCCCGATGCCTACAGGGAGGGCAGGGGCTTCAGCTTTGTGTGCAGACTCCCCACTGTCACTCGCCCCATCAATGTCATCTAGGAGAATCCCTTCATCACTCCCTGCATCAGATTCTCTGGAGGAATGGATGCTGCTGCTGGACTGGATGCTGGAGGTGGTACTCAGGTCTAGGACCATGTAGTCTTCAGTCATACCTCTCCCATAGCCATTCATGTGGGAATCTTCAGTGCCTGCTGGGGAGGAGGCATCTTCCCTTACATCAAGCCCCATTTGGTGCTGTGCACCATAGATCTTCACCAAAAATTCATCACGGAGGTCCTTGCTAAGGGAGGGCTGAGATGAGTCTAGGCCCATGTCATCCAGTTCTTTGGTCAACAGTTTTCGGTGCAAGTTTATGTTGGCACTGTGTCTAGGAAAAGAAGAGGGAAGGGGTGGGCAGGCACGGGGAAAGGGAGGGATGAGAAAAGAGGGGGGCACTTTTAAATTGACTCTGCTTTCATCAAGATATCATATAAAACACATTCACTGCCAATGACACCATCTTAAAATCATAAACATTTCTGCTATTTCCTCAGGGCTCAGGATGGGTAAGTGGTAAAGGTGGTGATGGGGAGCTCTAAACTAACATTATCTTTGTGAGACAGTCAAACCTCTCATTGGATTCAAACCCTAAACCATGCTGCTTTTCCTGAGTAACTGATCTGTTAGATTAGGGTGTGCGTGCGTGCGTGCGTGTGTGTGTGTGTGTGTATGTGTATGTGTGTGTGTGTGTGCGTGTGTGCATGTGTGTGTTTATGTGTGCCTGCATGTGGGAATATATAGCAGCAAGAGACCTCAAACTACACCTTTTAGAATATGACACTGGGATATTCTAGAAAGAAATGGAAAATGCCCTCTGAAGAGTCAGTATTTTAGTTTTCCTTTCCTTTTGTTTAGAGAAATTCAGAGGACATACTGTGAAATTGTTAGAAAACTACACTAAAGAAATGGGTGAGCTACAGTTTCAAACCTATGAGTTTACTTGGTACAAGTCTGAATATTAATGAAGACTATTAAAGTATGTTGCCTGGTAGTTTTAAATCAACCAAGCAAAGGGTTTTAATAATCTTCCCTTATATTAGCAATTTAAGATAAAATACCAAGAAATAAAGCTTATTATATATTTGGAATCAAAACTTATTACAAAGGTAAAATAAATACACTTTTGACAAGTTCCTGCAGTTTAATATTTGCCTCAGAACATGCTTTATACTACTTAGATCTGGTTTTAGCTGTACAAAAAATGAAAAAAAAATACAGAATTCTTTTCTTTTTTAAAAATAAAAATTAATTCCCCCCTCCCACTAAAGAAGGAGAAAAAAACCTTGGGACAGGACAAAAATGTGTACATAGTCAATGCTCTCCTCTCTCCCAACCACTCCCCCCCAACGCCAATCTAAATTTTTAACCAAATCCTATATTTGTAGACAAGCAAAACTCATGTGCAACTTCCTAGGAGTTTTGTTTAGAAAATATAGGATTTGTCCCAGAGCATCCATAGGGATGTCATGATTTACAAAGTCTGATATGCTATTATCTATCTGAAAAACATTGCCTTAGTCTTTTCCCCCCCATTTATTTTAAAAGCCCCCATGGGCATATACCTCTCTCCACCTGACAAGGCTTACATGTTAAACAAATATCTAAAATGAAAGCTACTGTGGCCAAAAGAATTAATAATGATAATAATAATAATAATAATAATAACTTCTCAGCAATGAGAGAAGTTCAACATTATACTGGATTGTTTTAATTAAAATAACCAAAATTGGCAAATGCAAAGTTTGATATATCTCCTCTGAAAAAAATTAGAAAAGGTCTTTAAGACTCAAAAAAGTCACTTAGTCAATTTGGTTACAAGAGTGGATGGTTTTCCTTGGAAATGAAGGGTGGTTGAGAGGTATGTGCCAAATAGACAAAGAAGATGGAAAAGTTTTCCACCTTTCCACACAAGACAATAATAGCACTCTTGATTTTGTAGGGGTAGAGGTGTTACATACACCTCTCCACACTGCACTTAGGAAGGCTGAGCTTACCTTGTGATAATAAGATCAGCTTTCTAATCTTTTGCTAAATCGATCACAAAAGAAAGCAAGAATGAAAGACAGAGAGAGAAAAAGAGAGAAAGGGAGAGAGAGAGACAGAAAGAGAGAGAGAAAACAAATTCACATTCTAGACATCTGTTTTTTTAGAAAAAAACTTAAACAGTAAAATAGGGATTTAACATGTTCTGATCATAAAACCATTTTCTGTCATAAGCCATCATCTCATACTGTTGTCTTGGTGATTATCAGATCAGCTGCACAATCCAAAATCATAAATCAAATTAGCCAAACCAAATTCACAGCATCATCATCATCATCCATAAATGAGTTCTAAACAGATGCATTCAGTGTGCAGATACATGAATGATAAACAGAAGTCGTCCCTGTGGTCCCTGCTCTGACACAGTTGTTCCTTGCTTGCTTAGTGTCAGATGGCAGATGACTGTGAGCGCAGGCTGGTAAGCACAGTGCAGGAAATGCCTACTGTGAAAGTCTTTATCCTGAAATGTGGGTATGACACCACTGGAGTCATCGTATGAATGCAAAAATAGAGCTACACTATGTACTATTACTCTATTGATAAAAAAAAATCCACTAACAGAAAGACACTCATGAAATTCTACATTCTTTTCTTAACACCCCTCCCTATCTTAATTTCACAAACACATATTTTGTGATTGCTGTGATCTAGAAATAGGCAGGTTAAGCTCTCTGTTGTTTCTCACACATCTGCAGTTACCATTTCCTTGGTTCACTGCTGAGAAAACAGCAACCAGACACACAGCAATATCATCAAGAATCATTGAATAAAGAAGCAGGGATAAATTAACACTGAGAAAAGGACACACTGATCCCCCAGATGGACATGTCTTCCCAAAGATGACTTGTGAAAATAGACAACTCCGTTGATACTGTAATAGGAAGAGATGTTTCTCTTCGGTTCCCACTTATAGCAGTGGAAATCTGTAATCTAATTAGGTGATGTACCAGCCCTCAATATCTGTCAACCAAACGATGTGCAGAAATGTGTAGACCAGCTCTGGCACTCTGTTCAACAGTGTCCCTTTTCCGCTGTCAGCAGTACCGTTGGCTTCTGCTAATATAATTACATTGACTTTTATTCAATTAAGTGCCATCCCTGGCTTTAAAAAAAAAGCTACTTTATCAATTGATTCAGGTGTAATGCAATAATAAAGATGAACTCATGGCAGTGCATTAGCTCTGCTGTTCATAACTTTTGTACACGGGTTCATTCATAGTAGTCGATTTCCATTATGCAACCACCGTTCAAAAGAATTGATTCTTTTATGTTCATTTCTTAATCTATTTCGTTTTTTGTTTAATAATCCTCCTCAATGCTATATGTAAAAACACTCAAGTAGGGATAGGAAGAATGCATAGTGGGAAGTCATCTAATATACTCTTGCAATGTTGGTTTGGAAAATCTTTGATGAGGTATGGGAAAGGATGAGGAAAAATGAAAGGAAGGTATGCTATGTAAAAGGCAGAGAGGGAAAAAAAAGCAGAGAGGAGGGAAAGGGACAGGGAGAAGGCGAGAGAATTCTTTTAGAAATGTGGTCAAACTGAATATGGAAAAGACTAATGACAGCTGAGTTGATCACTTCCTCCAGATCAGAATCCCTCCTGATAAAGAGCAAAAAATAGCACTTGGTTTTAACTGGAACCCTAAGGTGTCATACTCTGCAGCAGTTAATTAGGTATCATAATGTATTTGGAAATAGACACAAAGACCCAGGGTTAATGGTAATTTAGAGAATGTTATGAGTTTCTACGGATCAGCAGAATAGAGAAGAAAAAAAGGGAAAAAGTAAAGACATCAACTGTAATCATATGTAGATTTAGACTATGAAATGTATCCAAACAAAGAAAATGGGAGATGCCTTCTGAAAAAGCTTTTTAAAAACAGAAAGTTCCAGAAATTGTAATAGATGAATTATATTCTTAAAAGGAGGCAAAGAATCAAGTTACCAAAGATGTAGTAAGTAGAAGAAAGAGCCCATGAAAGACATCTTCAGTCAAGAGAAGTAGTCCAGGTGTAGATAAAGGGCAGAATTGGAATTATGTTAAAGACAGGAGATGCCAATAGAAAGATCTTACGTGGTTTTCTCTAGACACAGACATCATGTTCAGAACACATTTCTAGAGAAGGTATCTGTCCAAGATGGAGCCAGGACATTCTACTTTGGAATGCATGCACATTTTACCAGACCCCAATACTGCGGGTACCAGTATCATTAATGCCATGTTTCTACTTGATTGTTCATTAATTGGTTTTGTAGGAAGTGCAGAAATGTGTAGGCAAATTCCCAGGACAATGGAATGCCTCGCAGGAAGTGAAGAACATGGGTGGTGGAAAGAAGGTTTGGCCTTGGTTGTACTCATTAGGACACTACTCCCAAAATATGGCTCCAAAAATGGTCACGTGCCTTAAAATCTACAGGAATGTGGCAGAGCTTCAGAGAGTATATCTTCTTGCCAATAGGCACTGGATATATCAAAGAGCAGAAACTAAAACTCTGAGGCTTGAAGCTGAATCCTTAAGAAAGGTGAGTAATAAGGAGGAATTGGCCCTAATAACACCTGAATTTAGTCTAAGGGATTCCCACATACATAATTATGGTTATGAATTTAGCCCTAAAACTTGGGCTATAATCAGAACGATCAATAGGTCTTTTGAATAGCTTTAATTTATGTTTCTTTTACCTACCCTGGACTACAAATTTTTTTCCATAGTTTACTGAAGGTACTGAATATGATAAAGCCTTCAGTGAATGGAAAACCATAATTATTCTTCTTTCCAAATTTGGAATGACAAAGATAATAATGATGACTGAAAATGATCTTATTGGACTGAAATGGACTCCAGATCTTCCTTCCCTATTTCAATTCTCCAGTGAGATTCTCACTAGGCATAAACAGAAGAAAAATGAATATAACTTCAGCAAATGCAGTCAATTAAATGCACATGCTATTTGCCCAGTGTGCATAAGTCCAGACATGGGATTCTTCAACAGTTTTCTTTTTAACTTGTCAATGTGCCCAATTCTATTTAATGCACTGGTTATCTGTAAAAATGAAAAATGTAACAGCTGGATTTTAAAGAAAAAGTATTAGCTTTAGGAATTCTCTTTTGAGATGTAAGGAGGAAATTCAAAATGAAAGAAAAGTGTCATGGCTAACTTCAAAGTCAGGCTGTGGAAATCAGAAACTGGATAATCCATTAATCACAATGCATTTTTATATCAAGCGCTAGACCTACCTTTCTAGATAATGCTAAGTGAAATATTGAGCCATCGAATTTACT